AAGGCAAGCGCTCTACCACTTGAGCCACAGCGCCACTTCCGGCTTTTTTCTTTTTGCTTATGTGGTGCTGAGGAATCGAACCCAGGGCCTCATGCATGCCAGGCAAGCGCTCTACCACTGAGCCACCTTCCCAGCCCTCCAGGAAACTCTTATCTCCGATTAACTACCAGAAAACTGGCAATGGCTCTGTGGCTCAAGTATTAAGAATGCTAGCCTTGAACTGAAGAGCTCAGGTACAGCGCCCAGGCCCAGAGTTCAAGCCCCACGATAATAAATAAATAAATGGAATGTGGATTAGTGGTAGAGTGCTTGCTTAGCATCCACGAAGCCCTGGGTTTCATTCCTCAGTACCACATAAACAGAAAAACCGGAAATGGCACTGTGACTCAAATGTAGAGCACTAGCCATGAGCAAAAAGAAGCTCAGGGCTAGTGCCTAGACCCTGAGTTCAAGCCCCACAACTGGCCAAAATAAATAATTAAATAAAGCCAAAATGCTTTCAGGTGTATTTATAACCAGAATATTTCTTAACACAACTAATTCAGTATGTATGCGCCAAAGAAAGAGGTGAGAAAGAAAAGGTTTTATTTACTTTTAAGACTTTTTTCCTTTCTTTTTTTTTTTGGGTCAGTCATGAGGCTTGAATTCTGGGCCTGGGCGCTGTCCCTCAGCTTTTCAGCTCAAGGCTAGCACTCTACCACTAAGCCACAATGCCACTTCCAGTTTTCTGGTGGTTTACTGGAGGTAAGTTTCATGAACTTTCTGGGCTGGCTTTGAACCATGATCCTCAGATCTCAGCCTGCTGAGTTGCTAGGATTACAGGCGTGAGCCACCAGCGCCTGGCAAGACACATAAGATTTCACACATAAGACACTGTGAAGTGCACTGAGGCCTAATATTTGATATTCTATCTAGTGAAAGCAGAAAAACATTTATACAATTTATATTAATTGCTACACCCGAGATCTGCCAGAAAATTAAAACCTGCAAAATATCAAATAGTAACATCCAAAATAAACATCTAAAATAGATATAAGGATTATCTGGACAAGAAGCAAAGATAGAAAAAGACAAAAGACATGTCAATAAACGAGAAAGGTACTTACTTCCATGAAACAAAGGCTTAATCCAACTCCAGGTTATAAACATACTGCTTTGTTTTGGTAGTGGTGGTGGTGCTGGTGCTACAGATTGAATCTAGGGCCTTGTACATGATATGCAGAGCTCTAATACTGAGCTACATTCTTAACCCTTGTTTTTGTGGGTTGGCTAGCTTGGGTTTTTGTTTGTTTGTTTTAGAGACAGGTCTTACTATGTAGCTTAAAATGGCCTGCAACTCATGATCATGATCCTCTTGCCTCTTCCTTCGGAGTTCTGGGATTACAGATTTGTATCACCATACCCAGAACAATTAGCCTGATTTCTAACACAGGGACTATCTGACTTGAGAGTTGAGAAACACATACACATACATACATATACATACACATACACACACACACACATTCATTCTAGGTTGAGGAAAATGGGGAGAAGGTTTTAAGAAGTTACTGTATTAAAAACAAAACTGTCACTTGTACTTTTCCTTGTTTAGGCTTAGAATGAAACATGATTTGTTCTGGCCCACTACTGCTTTTTTATTTTTTGTGTCAGGGACTTCCTAGGTAACGTTGACTAGCCTTTAACCCATGAAGCTCCTGCCCTTCAGGAATCCTGAGTGCTGGGATTATAAACATATGACACCTCCTCCTCCTCTAATGCTTTTTATAGAAAAGGCAAAAATCACCTCTCCAACAAACTAAAAATAGATGTACATAAATAAAACTGAGGCTTATGAAGAAGGTATCCATGACTATGTATTCTCTCATCTAATCTGGAGAGTTCAAGGCAGAAGTCTTTTATTAAGCCAATTCAAAACGGCAAGATCGCAATCCCAGACTTAAGGAAATGTCAAAATCTCAAAGCATCCAACAGCTCCTTTTCACAGTGTAAAGCCAACAGGCACTGTGGATCCCCAGATATTTCTGACAGAAGCTCCAGAACAGTTTCTGACTCACACACACCAACACGCATTTGCCCTCCTACACACAATCTGTTGCTTTTCTTGTGGGCCTCTTCAACCCTCCCCTAATCTTCCATTAGTTTCCAATTCTGAGCTATCCTGAGCTTCTTATTCTCCAAGTTCCAATTTCTTTAAACAGCCCTTCCAGTTTATTTCTTATTATGTAAGACTCAGCCACAGCAGTCAGAACCTTCCCCACCCCAATCATTCTTTCTTCCTGATACCTAACTCCAAACATCACTGCTCTACCTGCCCGTCAAGGCTCCATTTATGAGTCTTTTGGCCTACACTCCCCCCACGTTCCTTAGGCTCGCTTCTCAAACTTGCCTGGCTTTCCAAAGCTGAGCAGGCTAAAGACCCCCGGGGGGGTTCATCAAAGGAGCTGTTGGGTAGGTAAGCATGTGCGCGCGCTCCCGCTCCCCCGCGCCGCGCGTGGGATGAGGGGGCCCAGCGAGAAAGAATGACGCAGTTGGGGGGGAGTCTCCGAACGGAAAAACCGCTCCAACAACTCCCACTCCCAACCCTCAAAAAGCACCCCCCGAACTCCTCAATACCTTCAGGTCCCACGATTTCTTCAACACTTCGACCCAGTTCACGCCACCATCAACTCCTCCTCTACCTGCCTCTCACACCAAGTAGCCCCCTTCTTTCAGTCGAGCCTCCATTGAGTGGCTCTCCCCCCCCCCCGGTTTGCCTCCCTTCTCCCCCCCCCTTTCGTTCTCCATCCCTCCTCAAGGCAACGTTTCTGACCGTTCCCCCCTGATCACCGTCTAACCCCGGCCCGCTCAGAAATCCCTGCAGCTTGAAGAAAGTCTAGCCTTTTTCGAGCTCGTTCCCCGATCATTCCCACAGGTGCCCCCCTCAGGTCCAGCTCTTTCTCCCTCGCCAGCCCGCTGCCAGCCAGCACCACCACCCCTTCCCCCCAAGCCCCAGGCAAACTTACCTGAGGTCGAGGAAGACACCCCAGGATCAAAGGCTGGAAACCCGGCCGACGACGGCCCAGAGGAGGCTGTCGCCATCTTGGCAGCCCCCTCCCTCCCTCTCAGCCGGCTCGCTCCCGGTCACTCGGGCTCTTCCTCTTCGCGGAATCAAATGTTCCCCACGTCTCCCCCACAGAACCCGCGTCCCGCGGGCCACCCTCCCGCCCCCTCCGGGGCCTCTCCCAGACACGTCGGGCTGGCTCCGAGACCCGCTCAGGGCCGCACCATTCGCCGGGATGTGGGGGGGGGGAGCTCCCGGCGCGCACTCCCTCCGCAACTTGAACCGCTCTCCACACGAGCTGTTTTCTCCTTCCAGAACAGTGTTAGGGGTCCCCCTGGCTTCCAGGACCCGGCGTCGGAGTTAAACCTCACCAGAAGGCAGAACGAAGCGCCCAGAAGTCCAAGAGAAGAGCCCCCTCCCCCACCTTCCCAGGCAGCTCCCGTTCATTGCCCAACCCCGCCGCTCCGCTCAGAGTGGCTAAGGAAATTCCAGCATTGCGCATGCGCCCGACTTCCTCAGGGGGTTCCTTTCGCTTCACCGGGGGGGGGGGAGGAAAAACGGAGCCAATCCGCAGGCTGCCGTTGGTCACGTGACGCGGGTCGCTCACCCTGCTAACGAATCCCCGGGTGGAAGGCCAGCGCTCCGCGGCCCTCTCCTACGGTGGCTCGGTAGGTCATTCTCGTTGTGGCTCTTTGAAAGAGCCGGTTCCTTCACACCTTGACCTGCCGAGAAAGAACGCCAAACCGAAGAACTGTTGTCAAGGCAGAGACGTTAAGCGATCGAAAACCACAAAATATGACATGTCATCCAGCACTCTTCCCACCCCTTTTCCTGTTTCTATTACCTTGTTTACTGTTTAGTCTGACGTGGATGCATATTTTACCTCCGAATGACATTAGATATCGATCCATGTTTGTGTCAAACACAAATGCTAGGCACAGTACAGGGACAGAGCAGTACATATTTGATACATGAATCAACAAAAATAAAATAAGTATATCCTTGAAAGAGCTGACAACAGGGATCATGGAAGATCAGACCTTCCCTTCATCCGAAGTCCTTATCCTCCGACTGTCAATTATCTAAGCTCCAAAGTTCATGGGAAAAAATGATAATAAAAAAAAGTTCATGGAAATAATACACAGAAGTCTCGTCTCCCATTCTATTACCTCTGGTGAATTTTAACAACATATCCTGAAGGTTTGTGAACCTTGGTGGGATCTGAAGACCTGTCTCTAAACAAACTAAGATTCTGGAGAGTAAGGACTATGTCTGCTTCGTTCTTTTATCTCCAATTCCTCTCGACTTTACACAGAGTAAGCGCTAAATAGTAACTTGTGGAATGAATAAATGAAGAGAATTTTTTAATTCTGTTTTGCAGCCCCCAAAGTGTTCTGGTTACCTTTTATTGAGAATTTTTTCTGAGTCCTCAAAGGAAAATAGGTCCTAAATATCCATAACATTTCCCACCTTAGCTTTCTGCCTTTCCTTCAAGACCTAAAATAATTGTTTCTTTGCTGCCACCTGCTGGACTATTTGGTACTATTTTGGCACTATTGAGTGCTTTTTTGGAGTGCTGAGACAAATTTCAACCTGTACCCTAATTTTGCTGCAGTAGTAATTATGTGGTATTGAAGAATTTTTTGGTGGTCTATATCTATGTTGCCATTCAGACCGAACAGTACAGAAGCTGGACAGGTATTCCATTCGGTAAATAAATGTGTTGAATACTTATTTCCAGAAATAATTTCCCAAATTACTTTAAAAATTGGCCGGGTTGGACTGGGAAGGTGGCTTGCTGGTAGAGTGCTTGCCTAGCATGCATGAAGCCCTAGGTTCAATTCCTCAGTACCACATAAACAGATAAAGCCAGAAGTGATGCTATGGCTCAAGTGGTAGAGTGCTAGCCTTGAGCAGAAAATCTCACCAACAGCACCCAGGCCCTGAATTCAAGTCCCATGACCAACCAAAAAAAAATTGGCATGGTTAAAGGCAAAAGTGTTTCTAATTTCAAAACTGGGACTAGACTAATAAATCCCTGAATAACTTAAGGCAGTCAAACAGGGGAATCTTGTACCTGGGGACTGATGTGTGAATTTGATGGCAGCTCTCTTAAAAGAAGAAATGTTGGTTTTGTAGCTTTTTGGGAGATCACTATTTCTATCTGTTGTACTAAAAAAAAAGAGAGAGAAAAAAGATTACTATTAAACTTACCACCTCATCTTCAATTTGTTTATATGTTTGTCTCCCTCAGAAGACTGAACTCCAAAGCAAAGATTACATCTCAACCATTTTCACATCAAGCATCTAGACTAGTACTTGGCACTTGTCTCCTCAACATGTGAATGAATGAAGGTAAAATTAAAATAGTCGAGTTAGGAGTGGGACGTAGTAATATATGCCTGTAGTCCTAGCTACTCAGGAGGCTAAGGCAGGAGAATCATGTAGTACAGTCCAGCCTAGGCAACAGATAAAATAGCAAAAACTTGTCTGAAAAAATAAGTAAACAAAAAAGGAGTTAGAGATGTTTAAGAAGGTGTCTCCATCTTTTGCTCCTGAATCTTGTCTCTGCCTTCACACCCACTTAATCCCTAGGGTGTCTTGTGAGTCATGAAGATACTCTTCCCCAGTAACATTCCTGGCATAGCAGCACTGGGGTGATGTGGCAGGGTGTGGAAGCAGGGGCAGAGCAGGATGTCTTGGCTTGGTGCCCTGAGGAAATAGGAAAGGGAGTTCACCAATACATACTTTGAGAAGGAAGGTAATATAGTTGCATGAAAACAGGGTCATACATTTAGACTTGAGAACACTTAGAGCACTGTTCCAAACTGGGAATATACTGAAATTGTACAGCATTTGCCTCTGATAGTACAATGCCCCAAGTTTGAGCCCCGGTATTTTTTTTTTTTTTTTTGTCGGTCGTGGGGCTTGAACTCTGGGCCTGGGCGCTATCCCTCAGCTCTTCAGCTCAAGGAGAGCACTCTACCACTTGAGCTACAGCGCCCCTTCCGGTTTTCTAGTGGTTTTATTGGAGATAGGAGACTCACGGTCTTTCCTGCCCGGGCTGGCTTTGAACCGCGATCCTCAGATCTCAGCCTCCTGAGTAGCTAGGATTACAGGCGTGAGCCACAAGCGCCCAGCCCCCAGTATTTTTTTTTAAGCAGCCTTCAATAAGTTTTAGAAGGAAGTGGTGCTGTGGCTCAAGTGGTAGAGCGCTCACCTTGAACTGAAAAGCTGAAGGACAGCGCCCAAGCCCAGAGTTCAAGCCCCACAACCGACCAAAAAAAAAAAAAGAAGTTTTAGAATTCAGGTCCTAATGGCTCACACCTGTAATCCTAGCTACTCAGGAGGCTAGGATTTGAGGAGTCAGGTTTGAAAGCCTGGGCAGAAAAGTGCACAGGATTCTTTCTCCAAATAAGCAGGAATGAAAAAGCTGGACTGAAGATGTTGCTCAAATGGCAGAGTGCCAGCCATGAGTAAAAAAAGCCAAGCAAGATCACCAGGTCCTGAATCCAAGCCCCAGTTTGGTGGGGGGGGGGAGGGAGAAAAAGTTTTAGAACAGCCCTTAAAGGCAGAATAAGGAGCTTTGAAACCACAAAATCCATGCAGAGGCAAGAATAATGTGAGGGACCCAGGAGTGAGGGCACATGTCTGTAACAGCACTCCAGAGGCAGAGGCAGGAAGATTATACATTTGAGGCTAGCCAGACTATGGAGACTATGTCTCTCTTTTTTTATTTTTTGGGTCCGGTCGTGGGGCCTGAACTCTGGGCCTGGGCACTGTCTCAGCTCTTCAGCTTAAGGCTAGCTAGCGCTCTACCACTATGAGCCACAGCACCACTTCTGGCTTTTTTCTTTTTGCTTATGTGGTGCTGAGGAATTGAACCCAGGGCCTCATGCATGCAAGGCAAGGGATCTACCACTGAGCCACCTTCCCAGCCCCTGGAGGAGGCTATGTCTCAAAAGAACAAGGGCATGAGTACTTCATTCATTAATTCATTTAATTAACATAATTTAGTTCCAGCTATACACTAGGCACTGAAAATTCTTAGTACACAAAGATGAAAATAGAATCCCTGCCCTGGCTGAGGATGTAAGAGCCTTTGCCCTATTTGTGAGGCCTTGAGTTCAATCCCCAGCACTACAAAATAATAAAAATAACAACAATCATAATAATACACTCAGCCATTCCTGTTTTACATGCCTGTAAAACCAGATGCATAACAAGTTGAAGGGTAGCTTGTTCTACATAAAAACAAAAACAAAAAACTAGTAGATTAATAAGGATGAGACAGACATAGTACAATGTCTTACATGAGAATGAAATGTAACTAGTCACTGGTGGCTCACACCTGTAATCCTAGCTACTCAAGAGCCTGAGATCTGACGATAGTGCTTCAAAGCCACCCTGGGCAGGAAAATCCATGAGATTCTTATCTCTAATTAACTACACAAGGGCTAGGAAGGTGGCTCAGTGGTAAAGTGATTGCTTTGCATGCTTGAGGCCCTGCGTTCAATTCCTCAGCACCACATAAGCAGAAAAAGCTGGAAATGGAGCTGTGGCTCAAGTGGTAGAGCGCTCACCTTGAGGTGAAAAGCTGAGGGACAGTACCTAGGCCTAGGGGTCAGGCCCCATGACCCAAAAAAAAAAAAACCCACCAAAAACAATTAACTACAGAAGAACCAGAAATGGTGGTATAGTTCAAAGTGGTAGAGCACTATCCTTTTTTTTTTGTCGGGGCTTGAACTCTGGGCTTGGGCGCTGTCCCTTAGCTCTTCAGCTCAAGGCGAGCGCTCTACCACTTGAGCTACAGCGCCACTTCCAGTTTTCTGGTGGTTTATTGGAGATAGGAGTCTCATGGTCTTTCCTCACCCGGGCTGGCTTTGAACCGTGATCCTCAGATCTCAGCCTCCTGAGTAGCTAGGATTACAGGCGTGAGCCACCAGCGCCCCGCTTAGAGCACTATCCTTGAGTACAAAAGCTCAGGTATAAAGCCCAGGCCCTGAGTTCAAGGCCCAGGACTGGCAAAAAAAAAATGTGATATGTAACATAGTCTTAGCCTAGCACTGGTGACTCAAGCCTGCAATCCTAGCTACTTGGTAGGCTGAGGTCTAAGGATCTCAGTTTGAAGGCAACTTAAGCAGGAAAGTCCATGAGACTCATCTTCAATTAACCACCAGAAACCAGAAGTAACACTGTGGCTCAGAGTGATAGAGCACTAGTCTTGAATGGAAAAAAAAATAAAAACCAAAAAACAACACCTCAGGTACAGTGTCTGGGCCCTGAGTTCAAGCCTCATGACCCCATCCCCTCCAAAAAAAAGCAAGCAAGAAGTTAGCAGTCTTGACAGTACCATAGACTATTTGAGATTGGAACTATTCTAGAGAAATCTAGGACACATGATTTCAGGAAGACTTCACTGTCCTGTAAAAGTAGAGTTTTGCCAGAT